GATAATATATAAAGAGAGAAAAATATAAATATGAAATCTTGTTATATTTATGAAATTATTATACCCGGACGAAACTTATAAGATCCGTTCGATCGTGCTGTACGTTTTCTATAAAAAGATAATGTATTAAGTGGACATTTGACCAATAATAACTCAAGTCGAAAGTCTTATCTTTTATAGCGAAACTTTACTCTCGGATACTTTCTTGGAGAAGTGTTTCTATAGCTCGCAACTCGATGAACTAGGTCAAAATTTATATGAAATAAAATATCCGCGAGGAGCACGCGCGACACACGTGCGCGCGGGAAAACAGATTGCATCGCCTACATTCGCTGTGCCATTGTAAAATATGCGGACTCCTTGTGCGCGAATATTTGAGAGCAAAAATAAGGCGGAAACGCTGAGCCGAGGAAGCCGCCGCCTTGGGGCACCCGAGACATCGTGATGGATGATTTATAACTTAGCACGTAGCACAGCAAATGGCAGTAACTTTCAACCTTATATATTATAGTATTTGCGTTTACCTTATCTGAGCGTAACATCGCGTGAAAACCATTACACACCTTGCTTGCACGTGTGTTACTTGTATACAGACTGCATGCGCTGCTGTATGTCTAACTTATAAGCCGTGTAGTTCACGATGCAATACAAGAGCTAAGCAAATAGTGATTAATCGATGAAAATATAGCGAATATTGCACGCAATTATCCTGTTGCGTTGTGTATTTAGCCATATTCTACTTGACACATGGAATGTTTCCTTAATTTGAATTGAATGAAAAACAGCTTATTACCATTTTTTTTTATTTTAAATATTTAATTGAGTCATAATTTATCGATTTTCGTAAGATTACACGTTCTTTAAGTGCATATATAATAACCTGAACATGAAAATTTAACTGTTTTGAAAAATTCAGGAAACTACTTTAATATCACAATATTACTTCAAGACTCCATCACTAGATGGCGTGTATCTTTAGTTTTAAATCTGCAAGTGGCAAAGTAAATATAATTGTATAAGTTAAAAAGAAAAAATAATCGAATAATGGTTTATATAGGGTCAATTTATATAGGATCAATTTCCCCTATAAGTTATTGTAATTTGAGATTGTATAGCTTGCGAAAGTTCTTCACTCTAAAATTTTTAGCATGAGCTTTCAAATCCTCTTTTAAAAACAGCCTATTACCATTTTATCATAGCTAAACCCTCGCAGCAATTATCCACATAATCTTATGAGTAGGCTGCGATATTTTATGGACTTTGTGCATTGGATTAGTTGTAGAGCCTTGGTTAAACGTTTTATGCTGCGTTATACTTAAGCAGAGAGAAATGGTTTGCCATAAATAAGTAGTGGCTATAAATGTTTCGCTGTAAAGAATCCATCTCAAACGTAACTGTAATCGAGAGGCACTGATAAACATTTATCCGCAAAATCGGACGCTGAGCATCGTTGAAGAAAATCAACGCAATCGATTTCCTATAAATAAATGGCGATTTTCTAAAACCATAAAAGGTATATGGGCTAGCGTCGCGGTAGTACATGGGCCGAAATAGCGTGAAATTCGCTATTTAGAGAATCGCTAAATCTCAGACACCTGCTGCCCCGATCGCGCGCCGCATTAACATCTCTGCAGACTGATTCACGTGCAAATTAATGACAGTCGCGCGCGCTTATATACCCATTTGAAAAGTGCTCCTGGCAACAAACCAGAGTGAGAGAGACGCTATACATAAGAGCCGTGGTGTCTGTATGGCTGCGTATGTCCCTCTATGGTGGATAAATCATTCATCGCGCTTGCGAGAGGGTCACACACCGCGGCACCACGTGGAATATATTCTTTAGTTCGCGCGCGGGGAGCAAATAGAGGCGAGCGTATATAATTCGTGCAGCGCAGTGCATGGGCATGGGCTGCTATGGAGAGGAAGGGAGAAGTCATGATAATATAAACTAGCGACACGGGAGCTATTCCATATTTAGCGCCAACGGCTCACAGCATACAGAAAAGCTCGAGGTCGCGGGCTACGCTTCGTGACAGAGTCTCGTATATGCGGCATTGCGGTGAAAGAGAGAGAGAGAGAGAGAGGGGCTAGGGAGAGCAAAAGAGAGAGAGAGTGAGAAAGAGAAGGAATAAATAAGAGAATACACACACGGGTGAGAAATCATGCGGTGCGCCAGCGCAGATATCGCACATGCCGCACAACGCAGTGTATGACTCGAGAGAGATTTATGTCACAAGCTCGAGCTAGTCGACGACTATACGACGACTATACTACTACGACGACGACGACGTCGACGGTGACTCAGGTGTGAGAGCAGCACACATTATATAGCGAGCTACGTACGTGCACGAGACGGCGGAATACGAGTCGTCGGCCCTTGAAAGCTCTCACACTCATACACACAATGTCGTTAAATCACGGCAGCCGAGAGCAGACTATACTACTATACACTCACTGGACGCGCGTCGAAAAATCCGAGCGCCCGACGACGACGACGACTTATTTGTGTGACATACGCGCCGAATGATCGACCTGACTCTCTATATATTGCTCTCTACCCCGCGCATAAGCTGTGATTTGCGAGGCGCATTGTTGTTCCGCGACTCAATTGCCCCGAGTACCGTATGAGAGCCGAACACGTGGAGAGAGATATGTTTTGTATAAATCGCCATTTAAATCTACTGCTGCTGATGCTGCTGCTCGCGAGCTTTTTATTCGCTTGGACAAATAGAATTCGAGCTGCTGCTGCTGGGTGCACTCGAGCAAACAAATTTTTTTTTCATACCCCGCACTTTTCTAATCGATCCCCGGCAATTCGAATTTCCGAAGCGCGCGACTCAAAAAACTAGTATGAATGCTACGCAGTGATGTCGAAAATGAAGCTATTTCATGCATATGCGTTCGGATTACAATTTACACAAGCTCTCTGCGTGCATATACGATAACGTATGCGCAAGAGAGACTAGCTTCAAAGCCAATCTCTACTGTATATATGAAGTTATGGACAATCCATGTAGCGTATAAGCTGTATCATCGTTGTACCAACGAATTGACTTTTTTAATAAAAAAAAAGTACGAGTACCCGCAAAAAACCAACGCGACGTTTATTTATTTTTTTTTTCCTTTCAAATATAGAGTAAAAGTCGGAGGCTTTGCACTACGCGTATAGTATGAACAAGAGTAAACTCAAAATTACGCTACATTAGCGTAGTAATATAGGCAATAACGAATTCAGCCGAATATTTCCAAACGATGGGGCGCGCGAATCCCGTATGCCATTTATGTATACAGGCATGTGTATATAGGGCTCTACGCGAAGTGCTTTCGATGCAAAATGAACAAAATATATATATCGCGCTGCGCGTTTATACGCGCGCTATCTGTAGGGCCAATAATAAAGAGCTCGCGCGCGTGTAGCGCATTAATTGAACGCGCTATTATTAACGAAGATTTTCCCGTTGTAAAAGTCAACGGTCTGCACGCACTTAAAGCCATAAATCTTAGTCAGCCAGTGAAAATCATGATTTATAAGGAGTCCATTTTAGGGAAAATATTGATAATAAAATCGAATTTCGTTCATTTACCGCGAGCTATATCGCGTGTACGATAATGCGCACAGTGTCGCGAGTCGAATCGCTAAAACGTGCGAGACGCGGCATGAGCCTGCATCGGCGCATATATATTTATACGGCGCGTACGTGCTATATAGCTTTTGCTTTTGCTCGAGCGCTATCAACATGCGCAGCGACGAGCAATCAAGCGATATAATAGTCTTTTCGGGGTAGCGCGATGAGGCCAGCGCGTACATTTCGGCCTTTTTCCGATGGAGTACACACACTCGTATAACGTAGAGCGACTCAATGCTGCTGATTGCACATGGATTTTGAAGAATCGATTGAACATTACTTATGCGTCAAGGGGGTGTGAAGTGTATGTGCGAAGAGAAGAAAGAGTCCAAAATTGGGTGCTTGCTGAAAGCTCGTAATAATAAAGTGTAATAAAGACAGGCTGAAATTCGAAACTTCATTATTGCGATATTAATATATATGAACTCCATTAAAACTGTATATAATATTCCATGCTTCGTTGGTCAAATTAATTTTATATTGTAATCATACGATTAAAAAATAAAAAATGAATTATAAAAGTTTTTGCAAATTTAAGAAAATTACTCTGAAAATGTTATTTCTGAAATGTCCATGAGTAAAAAAATTTACAGCCAAGAGAATTATTTTAATGCCTATGAGGAGTAATTTAAAAATAAACTAAGAATAATGCGGTAGAAGATCCTTTCAAATTCCTTGTGAAAGATCACTCTTGCATTGATCATCGGTACGTTGCTATCAAATCTATATCACTACGGGTGAAAAATCAGCCGATTTCTGGCGTTATGATTGTGTGTGGTAGTGGAAAATTTTCGCTTGATTACTTACGAATAAAAAGCGAGTTGGACTGAAAAAAATCGGTGCTTCAGTGGTCGTTATACCTATACAATACGTGTACACCTACACAACAACGCTTGACCACCAGTCGAAAACCATCTTTTATTGGCTGTCGCGCTGCACACGTACACACCACAGCAGATCGGCCGGAACAAGCGAACACCTATGCGTGCGCAGGTTTATTTTATACCTATATTCCGGGCCGATACCCCACACGCGAACGGTAGGGAAGAGAGCATACGGAGTTTTTTTTCTGCCGAGCCAGCGTTACTCCCGCAAATCGTTTCAATATCTGCGGATGAGCCACGCTCCAGGGGTACAAGGCTTTTTTGAGTGGTAATTATCTGCAGGTTCAATGAGACTGCTCACGACGTGCCTACTTCTGATCCCACGGATTGATATTCTTTTCCGGAAATACATTCGCAATATTATTTTCCTCAGCTATTGATTTTTTTCAGAAACAATGACGGAATAAATCATGAATATAGTTGAATAAAATTGCCAAGCTGAATAGAAATTTGAGATTCAACATCTAATGATGCCCTTTGTTTGTTTCAGCCATCGTGGATGAGAAGTCGAGAATACTGGGACGACAGTTTCGAACAACGCTATTCTGAGTATAAAAAAGATTCGAGAAGACCACCCTTAAAAGTAAGCATTTTTTTTCTAATATCCAAATCGAAATTTTATTTTAAATTAAATTAGCACGCGTGTGAATCTCATCCCGTGAAACGAAATAAATTCATTTCGGGAATGACTTTGAAAAATGTTTGGACAAAGCGCAGCAAGAGCGGTTACTTAATAAAATTAGTTTCGAGTTCGTCTGTGCCAGTTGCAGCAGAGATTACGTGTCCCAGTTTTTTTCTGTTGCCATTGAGCTTCACTGTACGAAATTGTTTGTACGACAAATTTAAGGTGAAATATATACGTTAGTAGCACATATTTGTCGGAGTTTGCGTCAAAGTTTGAGAATGCTTCATGTTTGACTTTTCCTCGTGCGAGTAGGTACGTAGCGCACTCACGCTCGCGCGCACCAGGTACATATTATATCCATAGTATCAAGTGGAATTTCACTTTGAAGTTGAAACAATGCAACAGCAGCTTAAGTCCTTACCGAACTTAAACTCGTTAAAGCATACATATAGAGAGCTGCACGTCGAGCCCTCATATTATCATTTAAACTTTACTGTAGTACAAAGCCATTTTTGTTCGAGTGTATAAACAAGACTTTTTTCAATGCTGCTAACTTTAATGATCATTCGAATCGCGAAGAAAAGCCAATATCGTTTAATCATGATGGGGTTGAATGGTTCACTAACCACTAAATTCGTGAAAAAACCTGATCCACTTATAATTGAAATCGATTTCTTTAACGTTCATATAAAAAATATACTCAGCTATTCACTGGAAACTCTTTCAATCGCGTAAAATTGCAACGTTTAGCTCATCGTAAATTTCGCTCTCGCAAGTTTGAGTGCGTTTGAGAGTTTAGTGCACTCCAGGAGAATGCACTATGTATATAAATATGTACAGTCTCGCGCGCGCACATGATACCTTGAAATGGCAAGTAATCGCGCGACGCGTTGACGCTCTTTTCTCTGGCTCTGTGCTATATACCTATCCCAGCCGCTTTCTACTGAGTATTTATGACGTGGATTTATCACGTTCGTGTGTGTCGTGCGTTTACATCGTCCGAGGGTGTGTAGTCCGACGCTTTTGTCCGTGAAATTTAATTTACCAAGCGATCAAGCACCTATACCAACATTTATACATAAATATAAACAATTTAAATGTGCTTGAAATGAGATATTAAACTCATTTATTCTAGTACAAAAATGTACTTTTTCTATAGGTTGAAATATTGAATAAAAAATTATTCTAGAATAAAAATTGTTCTGGATCGTAAGAATAATAAGTTTGAAATCTGGTAATTTTTATGTTGTTTTGAAAATAGTGCTATGAAATCGAACGCATTAGTTATTGATGCAAACAAAATAATTTTTGCTACCTTTATTTTCTCTAGAAAATATTCAAAAAATGATCGGTCAAATGATCCCTTTTATTATTATACAATGTTTAAAAATAACATTAATAGGCTTATTATAGTATCTTTATAAATAGAAATAATCACTTTATCAGCAAATTTAGTAAAATCTTTCGCTAGCTCATGTTCGATCAATTCGAGGTCATGAATAGTTATAGGAACCAAGTGGATAAAAAATAAACAGAGGGAAGTAATTAACTGTACATGAAATCTGGTTAAAAAATGAAACACCTCAACAACATGTACGAAGGTGTCATGATAGTTGAACACCCAAGGTTCTGATAAAATACCATCATTTCAGCACAATATTGATTAAAATTTTGGAAAAAACATATGTATAAGTATTAACACATATTTACAATTTTCAATCATCTTTCTTCTCTCAACTGTGGCATGCATAAACTTTGCAACCTTTATGAATGGTTTTTTGGTGTTTAAGCAAATGCACTTTTTGTCCAAATTTTTTCTCGCACTCGTCACACGCGTAATCTTTACGACCTTCGTGTACTGTCTTTTGATGTCTGATTAAATCCGACTTATTTCCAAATTTCTTCTCGCAATTATCGCATGCATAAACTTTTCGACCTTCATGGACTGTTTTTCGGTGACAGATGAACGTGCTTTGATACCCGAATGTCTTCTCGCACTTGTCGCATGCAAAATCTTTACAACCTTCGTGTACGGTCCTCAGGTGTTTTAACCAAACAGATTTAGTTCCAAATTTCTTCTCGCAATTTTCACATGCGAAATTTTTGCAACCTTTGTGGACTACTTTTTGATGTCTGATCAAATTTCCCCGTTCGCCAAATTTCTTCTCACAATTTTCGCATGCGAAATCTTTACGACCGTCCTGGACTGTCTTTTGGTGTTTCAACAATTCTGCCTTACGTCCAAATTTCTTCTCGCAATTCTCACATGCGTAATCTTTGCGATCTTCATGAGCTTTCCTTTGGTGTTGGAGTAAATGCTGTTTACGTCCAAATTTTTTCTCACAATATTCGCATGCTAAATCTTTACGACTTTCGTGAACTGTCTTTATGTGCACGAGCAATCTATGTTTATTTCCAAATCTCTTCGCGCATATTTCACATAAGTAATCCTGGAAAAATTCGTGGAATATTTTTATGTGCTTGAATAAAGTTGATTTATTTTCAAATTTTCTCACGCACTTGTTGCAAGTGAATTTTTCACGATCTTTGTGTATACTAATTTTTGGTGCGTAAATAAACATGATTGTTTCACAAATTTCTTTTCGCACCTGTCACAAGTGAAATTTTTGCAGCCTTTGTGTACCGATATTTGATGTCTACTCAAATGACTTCGAAACTCAAATTTCTCTTCACACTTGTCGCATGATAAGACTTTTTTTCATTATGAATTGTGTCTCGGCGAGTTATCATGTTTGGATCTAGTGTAAATGCCTCCTGACACATATCATAAACATATTTTTTGTCGTCTGAAACCGCAATATCGTTTTCACTTAAATGATCTTTAGAGACAACTTTCTCGGATTTTTTCCCACTTTTATTCATTTTAGTATCTGAATTAAACAATGGATCTTATTTAGTGTCACGAATATCAATTGAGTAAAGTTTATCTTTTGGTGTTATGGTTGGTTTCATCGCGAAAGACAACATTCAAACTAATTTATTTTTACTATAAATACAAACAGTGTTCACGGGATGATGCCAAAATAGTTTATAATAATATTGTTTACAATTAATTTATTTATCTGTTTATACATCATTCTTACAATATTTGAAATAATTAAAAATTTTAACTTGGCAATGATTTCTGCGAAGAATTTCTTTGCCCTCTAAAACTAAGTACTTCAAAAAAATTCTCGAAAAATAACAACTAGTTTTCACAAAAAACATCAAATAAATGGATCCTTACACGCATATAAAATGAAAAATTGTATTATTAATTTCAAAATTGCCGGCTCACACGATATGACGTGATTAGTGTGCTCCATAACCCATCACTGATTGTTATAATAATTATAGATAAAGACGTTAATTTTGATTTGAATTGGTTCTCTCTTTCAAATCTTTCTTAGTAAACAAACTGAACTAAAGGTTCAGGTAAAAATGTTCAGAACATGAAAAAGTAAAAGTATAAATACTTTTGAAGCTGTTTGATTAGGATGTGTAAGTCCAACACCATGGTAAGCTAATTAATGTTTTTATTTTAATGTTATAAAAAAGTTTGGTGAAAATCTGTGACTCGGAGATTAAAAGCTCTTCTTGTGAGTTCTCTCTTAGACCTCTAGGGAATTAAACATTTTTATTTTCATATTTTTATTAGTGTGATAAAAAAATTATCGAAAGCATAGTTATGCGAAGAAAAAATCCTCGTCTACTTTATCGATTTTATTTTTATAATTTGTAACGGCAAGCACGTGCCGTGACAAATGCGATAAATGTAATAAGTATCGGTAACATTTTTTCGAAACTTGACTTATACAATTATTTTTACTTTGCCGCATGCAGGTTTACAGATAAAGGTAGTCGCCATCTAGCGGTCGAAGCTTAAAGTGTTAATATCGTGGTTATAGTGGATAAAAACTGGTCTAAATTAAAAAAAATGGTTTTGAATAGTTACTTTTTTATTATGAGATCGTTATCGATGTTTTCTGCCAGGCTATATATAAGGGTAGTAGTGTTGAAGTTGTCCTGAAACGTGTATCATGTGAATTGTAAATAAAGAATGGAGAATAGTTATGATGTTTCTCAATTGGCTAAATCAAATATTCTTTATCAATCACGCCTCGCCATGAAGAATTGCGTTATATTTGTTATCAGCATCTTTCTCAGAAATGTGTATGAAACTTCCTTTCCATACTTTATCGTGTCTTTGCGCGTCTACCTTTGTTCTTTACATACACCCCGGAGAACTCACGCGAGTACATAAATTTCAGTTGCCGCGCGAGCATGCCCGTCGTAAATTAACTTGGGGTTTGCATAAGCTACTGTACACACATACACGCAGCTTTTTGCGCTTTTATTTCAATAGAAAATTAACAATTGTTACATAAACGCGCTCTGGCGTTCGTTATCGCGCGCGGCCCTGATACACGAGGCTGCTGTACTAGCAGCGTGACCGTAAAGTAGCCTCCTCGCTGCGCTCGTCGGGAAATAATTTAAAAGCTGCCGCACGCCAAAAGCTGTTATACTGTCGCCGAACCTTTACGGCGAGAAATTTATTGAGATGAAACATGGAAGCTCGGGGAAAATTATTCGATTAATATTTATACGCGTGCGATCTGCAATGCGTAGAATAATAGCTGCTTTATGAATTATAATAACAAACTTTTACGCTTCATCGATTTCAATGCTCTATATTCGTCATTGTTGTCATCTTTTTGTGTTTGTCATCGGGGGAAGTCTTAATTGAGTCAAGAAAATCACTCGGTAATTGAATTTTATAAAAATCTCCAATCACGAGGAATATTTTTCCTGCCTAGAGACTGCATCGAAAGATAATGAAAGTAATCCTCTTTGATTTGCTTCGGCACAAAAGATATAAGGATTATTCTTGAAAATTTGCAAGCGAGCGAGAGAGAAATATAGCAGCATCAAAGGTCGAGATAGAATAAGGCTTTGGT